GACCACTATCTCAAAAATACATGTAATATCACATCATATTATGTTATAATTACAATCAAAATTGCATCACCAAAACCAAATCACATAAAACACCAAATAACAACAGACGATATAGATATAGAATTCTCAAAAACTTTTACAGATTACATAAAAAACATACAACACCAAAAGTCACAAAGAGCAAATTCAATATTCACAAACGATGTATTTTCAATCATCTATAGCTATCTATCCATACTAGAATTACGAGAAATACAACTGTAAGACAAGAAATAAGTAATTTCTCAAAATTTTAAAATACAATCCGCCAAAACCTCATCAATAATGATATAGCACAAAATGTTAAACACGATCTACAAAAGATACTAGCATGGTTTATAATTGATAATTTTGTCCATAACATTGATCTTATATCTCTAGCAAGAAAAAGTTTTCAACCACAAAATTCAGAAGTCGAAACTATACTGGCTGATGAAACATAATATGTTTGGAACTCTGAATGTTCTCATCCATTATTTTTTAATATACCAACTGATATATCAAGTCAAGCAATTACCACAGTTTCCATCATTAGAGATTATGTTAAGTTAACTCCACTTACTGTTGATACAACAACACCTTTAAGTTACAATTCACTATTCACCGACAGAACAGGAAATAATAGTTTAAATTCTACATTTATTATTCAAGAAAAATTAAACGGAACAAGAAATCTTACACAACAAGATATTCAATTTCCATCACATTTCATAAACGAAGAAATAAATTTGTTGAAACGAACAGAGACAAACAAAACATCACCCAATGTCATACAATAATAATTTTCAATTACAAAACCCAGAAAGTACACAAAAATACCAACCAACTCAAATGCGCAATGAAATCCCACTAGCATATTTCTACAACAACACGAAATAACGAAAACCCAACCTAAAATACTTTCTCAAATACCAAATGCCACAGAATCACTACAAATGACTATGAATCCATAACTTATGGGTGGATCCTCTATATCTTCAGATAAGCCACTAATCGTATTCACAGGAACAGATCCCGGATACTCAGTAGAAGATTATACAAATGCAGTCACAGCCAATTTGATTTTAAACACAGGACCCGAACCAGTAAAAACACCACTTCATCAAAATTAGATACATAAACGCACAGCTCCAATCCAAACCACACTTGACGGCGCAGCCCAAAAATGGTTTTCAGTTTCACCTAAAGGTAATAAGTCAGATTGAAAAAGATTCACACAAGATTTTTCAGAAATGTTCGACTCTGGAAGAAACAAACAGCGCCAAAGAGTCTTATGCAATGAAATTCGTAGAATCCCAAACGAAACCGTTAAACAACTTGCAGTAAGAATTGAAACACTAGTAAAAAAAAGCATATTCCTCTAATACGCATGATTATAAGAACACAAAGTTGACAGAAAATTTAATGATGACTCCAACACCTCAATTACGGAAAATAGCAACAAAAAAGAGAGCATCACATCCATATTCAATTCGAGAACCCATTATAGACTTCACGAAACTAGTAGATAAACTATAACAAGCCGAAATTACTATTAAACTGGAAGAAACAGAAAATAGATATATGTCAATCAAAAATTCTTAAGGAAGAACTATCAATTAATCATATAATAGTCATAAAAACGAAACACGGACTATTTTACAAAAACACTTTATTTTAAACCAACATTTTAGATATCAAAATATACCACTGAACAATGAAAATTCCCTACAAAGTTCAATTTTCAACACTCTCAAATTAAACAAAAAGAATTTGAACAACTAGCCGAATTGCTAACAAAACATCCAATGGCTTACGCCACATCTAAATTTGATGTTGGACACGTAAATTCACCACTACAGCTACCTCTGAAACCTGACGCAATTTTCAAAAAGCAACGAGTAAGTGAAGTCCCGTTTCACTTGCAAGATGAAGTCAATAGATTACTAGACATACAAGAAAAATTTGAAATTATATACCCGGTAAATGAAGAAGAACAACCAAAAGGAAACACATTCTTAAATCCCGTTATTATTTTAGCTAAAGGAGAATCATTAAAAATTGTTTTAGACGCAAGATACCCTTGCAGATGACGACACTAACGCTAACCCCCAACTAACTGAAAATTTTTTCGTCATATCACAATATGTATTTATTATCAACTGCATGAATAAAAAATATGATCATACTTTATCCACAGCACTTCGCGACACAAAAGCCTACGACTCCTATTTCAGTAAATTTAACCATTTTTCCTTTTTCTTTAATTTCCTAACACCAAAGGAACGTGACTTACACTGCCCACATCAATTATTGTTACGCACAAAGCAAACTCACACATACACTTATTATAAATTCATACAACACCATTAGACAACTAATACACCATCACGATACCCACAACATCGATTTCAATTTATTAAATCCAAATACACTTCGCCATTTTTCTTAAACTTCACTTATTGTATTAAAGACACTAACATGCAAGGAATCCTTAGAAACTACGACCCTATCCGACAATCAGAACTTTTAACGTTGATGAAATCCCGTCTACTAATTGTCCCTCACGAATAAATACAGCCCGTTGAAATCCCAATCCTATAATACATTTACAACACTAAACATAAATATAAGCTTTATAACCTGAACCAAAACACACCGCATGAATTCTCACCGAGTAGTGAAGAGCACAAGATCATCAAAGCACTTGAACTGCTTTGGCCTCTACTGCAAACTAAATATATCACCCGTTTGCTTGCCAAACTTCTGACAACATCGCTCGTCATTCACGATTTTTTCCCAAATGGATTTTTTGCTGACGAATAAATAAGTATCGTACTCTAATAAATTCAAAACACAACTAACCATTCTTGATAAAGTTTTCACTTTCTATTTTAGATCTCATCACACAATCATCTAAAACAAACAAAAAACAAATAAAAAATTGAAATCTAAACTCGTATTAACAAATCGCAGTAAAATTGTAAAGCAGTAAAACTTCCCCCAAAAAGCAGTAAATTAATAAAAAATCCTCAACGCAATATAATTCTTTTTACCAAGCAGTAAAGTCATAAATTAAATTCCCCAAAAGCAGTAAAATTTTTATTTCAAGGCAGTAAATTCACAAAAATTGCAGATAAATTTAAAAAATACTAATCTTTTTACAAAGCGCTTCTCTTATAGATTTGAATCATTCACTCGCCCATAAAACTCGTTCCACAACCGCACACCTCGTGCACGAAGAATTGTAAAAATGATGAATTTTAAGTTTTAAATCTCACTGATAACAACTCTAACCAGTTTTCACACGTTTAAAACTTTCCTTTAACCCGGTGGGAAGGAATTATATAGTAAATCAAAATAACCAACGAAGCTTACAAACGTCACAAAACCACAAACTAATAGCATGACTAAGAAAGAAGAACCCATGGTACCCAAACCAGATTAAAACCAGAATAAAACTGGATCAACTATTCTTTTGAAGACCACTTTCAAGTCTTGCAACAAACAAATAAAACACAAAAAAGTCAAAAAGTCAAACAAATCAAAAGGTTCGATTTTTGAGAAAAGGTTACAACCAAAACAAAAAGAGAAAAACAAGTAATAAAAACGAAACAAAAGGTTGAACACAAAAAGAGACTCTACACAAAGAGACCATAAAAATTAACCCACTTCTGACCTAACCCACCAGAGAGACGTCGCTCGAAGTACGTGTCCACATCATGCACTACGGCACTCCGATACTCTACTCTTGAAAAGAGTGGCTCCAGAGTGAGCAACTCTTTAAAATAACTGAACTAATATAAAAACGCTTTTGTGACAACCATTAATCACAAATCATAACTAAAACTAAATTAACAAAGGAAATTTTACATTAAAACGTAAAATGCAGTGTGTATAGAAACGTAATTCGTAAACGTAATCCGTAAAGCCCAAAAGACGAGCAGCGAAGGAGACGAAAATCCAATCATATTCCAACTTTGGAATGGCAAATCTAATCGATTTGCTGCCTAAAGTCAGTACCCTCAAAGGATTCAAAGTATGGACTCAACATCGCAGCAAAGGAAAACCATTGAACCAGACCAATAACCATCTCGATGTTGATTACACGTACCGATCCTAGTCACTTGGCACTTCACACGGAAAAGTCAAACTTCACCCTGCACGTAGTCTCGCTCTAAACTTAACGAATTCAATACATCATTGCATCGATCAGAAGCCTTGACACAATCACCCATGACCACCACGATCAACGAGACCCATCTAGAGATACGAACATAACAATCTTCCTCCGTCAAACACAAACAGCCACACTTCTCCTTTCTCCAGGAAGTCAATGCTCGCAACTTCAAAAAGAAACTACATCACCCGTCCTTCACTACATTAAACAATTCAAAAACTAAAAACTTTCTAAACCCCGAACGGGTGGAACCAGTTCTAAACTATACTTTATAATTGGTTATAAATATAATTCTCTCTTCCTGTAAAATGTTTCTAAGCTAACCAACCATATTCCATCTCTAACAATTACACTTATTTGTAAATGCTGAAACTACTTGTACTTTCATCACCAGAGCAATTTGAATTAAACTTAGAATACAGTTGTTCTCCTTCTGGCAACTAACCGCATAAACCAGTATACACTAGATCTATTGAGACTAGGAGATATCAGAGTAAGACTAAGATCGGTTTTAGACTAAGAAGTTGCACGAATCTATCCGGCCGAAAATAAGATAGCTTATCTTATCTGAAATTATCTTCTAAAAAATGACAAAAACGCCTTTTATGAACCGTTTTTTTTCTTCAAATAATTGCTTGCGGCGCAGCAAATTCGGCCAAAATAGGGTCTTTATAGTGATTTGGGAGGTCTCGGAAAATCAATTTCGTCGGCCTAAAAAAGGTAGACGAAGTGTTCTAAACTTTTTTGAAAGTCCACCAGCCCCCGAGGAACCGAGAAAATCCTATACGCGCCCATGACTCACCTATTTCCTCGCCCTCTACTTTTCCGGAGTTGTCCTGGTCGTAGTGTTTGAAGATGCGCTCAAAGTCCTCCTTCGCGATCGGACCCCTCTTCACCCCACCTGCACCCCCACCCCCACCACCAGCAGCAGCAGAAGAAGAGGAGGGGGAGGAGTGGAACTGACTCATGAAGTTGTCCTCTACAGGAAGCAGTTTGATCATCTCTCCCAGCTGAAAATAAAAAAATTGTTTACTTTGTAAAATTTTTGAATGTAAGGGAACATTTTTATTTTGAATTTGAAAATCAATGATTGTTGATTGAAAATAGACCCAAGTTCGACTTTTAATCTCAATCCCGATATAATCTTCTTGATTCAATGATTATCCGATTTGTTTTAAGCTTTGATCATGACTCTTTTTTTACCAAACTATTTTTGCGAACTCTTGATTATTCCCCAAAAAATCTGCATTGTGGCTAGAAATCCTCTCTCTCAAAATAAGTAGATAATGGTGCCAAAGCCGTATTCAGAAAATGTTGAGTTTTGGCTAGAGTGGTGATCGAAAGAAAAGGTCAAAATTGTGGAAACTTATGAAGCATCGGTGATGTCACCTGGAATTTTCCGTCGTTGTTGACGTCATAGGTCTCTATGCAGTACTCCATAGTCTCCTTCACAGTCTCGGAGTCACACTGGCCCACACACACCTGAACAAAGATTACGCAATTTTCAATCACACACTTCACTGCGGATCTTATGTAACATTTGATCACAATTCAGCAAATTTTAGATAATTTCTCATCCATTTTTCTTCTTCAGTCATTTTTCGTTTTTACTAAGCGTTTTTTGACAGAAACTTTTTTACCATTTGAAAAATGTTGTTGTTCAGTGCGTTAATGTTATATTCTTAAATATATATTTTACCTGTGAAAGATTTTGTAAAACTGAAAAGGGGGTTTCAAATATTCTAATTTGCCCAAATTTGGATAATTAACGCCGATCTATTGCAATGTTATAGTATAACACGCGTAAGCAGCGACTCAAACAATTCAAAATTGAGTTGCGACAGGTCACCTGGTTTTATTATTAGGATACGAGACGCTTTTAAAAACTTTTTAATCAATTTTCAACAAAACAATTTTTAATTGGCCTTAAAATGCAGTCAAAATATTCAGGGCCAGGCCCAGATAAACAACTTTTTTTAAATATGCTGATTCTAAAACTTTATTTTTGTAGAACGCGATTAAACTGAAAAAAAACACAAGAAGGAAAAACAAATATAGCTGAAACAAAGCTACTCCTATATCAGGGTAAAGCCCTAAGTGTTCTTACTGCCCTTTAATCAGTATCGAATAGTTTTTTATAAAAATTTGGAGAACCTTACATCTTGAACAATACCAAACAATAAGTGTGAAAACTCGAGTTTTCAAAAACAATACGACCAACTATTTTGGCTCAATTTAATTTGGAATGATATTGTAGTGCGGAAAAATTATAGTTTGCCACGCACAAAAATTGTTGTTGTTCCGACTTTCGATACGAAAGTAACGGAATATTTGTGCTCGGGGTGGGTTTTTTTTTCTTCAGACAAATTTCGACTTTTTAACTAGCCATTATTGACGGAATTTTTTTTATATCATTCAAAAGGTAGTGTTGTCCTGAGCTTAAATTTGAAAAGATATTTCACCTGTGATCATTTTTCGTAAAGTTATGAGGGTTTAAAGATTGCCATTTTGGCCATTTTGGCCAATTTGGGACAATTAACGCGCAATATAATTCGCGCTATTAACGCGTAAGCGAGATTTAATCCGTATTATAAATCGTTCCAAATTGGTTGAACGAAGCTTATTTGCCATAATTGATTTGTTAAAAGGAACAAAATCTATCTTTTTGTACTTTATTTGGCGTGTGGGGGGATGATTTTCATAAAAAAATTCAAATTTTAGAAAAAAAAATTTGCATTTTCATTTATTTTATTTAATTTTTTTTTATGTATTACTGCTGCTCAATAAACCTTAAAAGGTGGTCGGAACATTCAGGGCTTCGCCCTGATACGAGCAGTCTTGTTCCGACTTTCGATACGAAAGTAACGGAATATTTGTGCTCGGGGTGGGTTTTTTTTTCTTCAGACAAATTTCGACTTTTTAACTAGCCATTTTTGACGGAATTTTTTAAATATCATTCGAAAGGTATTGTTGTCCTGAGCTCAAAATTGAAAAGATATTTCACCTGTGATTATTTTTCGTAAAGTTATGGGGGTTTAAAGATTGCCATTTTGGCCAAATTGGTACAATTAACGCGCGATATATTTCGCGCTATTAACGCGTAAGCGGAGAGTTAATCCGTCTTAGAAATCGTTCCAAAATGGTTGAACGAAGCTTAATTGCCATAATTGATTTGTTACAAGGAGCGAAATCTATCCTTTTGTTCTTTATATGTTGTGTGGGGGGATGATTTTCATTTAAAAAAATTCAAATTTTAGAAATTTTTTTTTCCTTTTTGGTTTTTTTTTTCAGTGAATTTTTTCATGCTATTACTGCTCCATAGACCTTAAAAGGCAGTCGGAACAATCAGGGCTTCGCCCTGATACGAGCTATCTTTTTATAGTTTCAGCATTATATCGCCTTACGCTTTGAGCTTTTAATATAAAGTCTTCAAAGCGCGCGTAATTTAGTCCAGTGCGCAAGTTAGTCCATTGAACGAACCAAAAAAGACTTAAAACTCAAAAAAATTTAAAGTAATTGAATATGCCAAATGGATTTTGTTCTACGAACTGAACTTTATGGAAAATCATAACTTGTATTTTTAAGTCGATGCAAAAAATGGCTCGATGGAGATTCTTGAGCAAGCAGGGTTTTTTATATATAATTAGTTTCATTTGTGTACTATTCACTAAACGTGCGGCATACAGAGGAATATTTTTGAAGGCCAGTGGCTAATATGTTGAATGAGAATTGAACATATTAATAAAAGAATGACACGTTTTTTCCCCAAGAGTGAAAGATATTTGCCCGGAATGCTATTTGAACCATAATGATTTCAATTTTTTGACATTGCTTACTGATTCAGGAAATTGGGGAAGTTATCCGAAATTTTTTTGCTCTAAATGCGAGTAGTCTATTTCTAAGTAATTCTCAGAAAGTGATGTTTCGAAATTGTCTTTGAAAAATATCGACATTTTTTATCAATTTTTTTACTATGATAAACAAAAGAGATTTATAAAATCTTAACAGCGCACTATAAAAGATAGAGCATCGAACTTCGGCAATTATTTTTAATTTCGTATTTTTCTCGACCTGAGCGCCTGCGGAAAAAACTTAGCTGAATGCAGACAATTAATCCGGATAACTCGACCCTATTAATCAATCCCATGCCACCAAATTTCAACCGTCTTCCTTCTTATTTCAACCCATGGGTAAAATCGAAGAGAAAAAATGAGTGTTCTACCCCGCCCTTATAACCATCAGACCAGAAATAAATGAAAGAATGTGGGTCAATTATGGGCTAAAATCTGGGATATCTAAAATATCCATCACTTTAATTGGTAACAAATATCATCTAAATTGGTTCTAACTTACATTTATTCAACAAATTTCTTTACTTTATCATATCTTTGAACTTTTAGCCTCATTACATAAGCAAAACGGCCATTTAAGCTCACACAAATCAAATAGCGGCCCACAATCAGGGCATTAAAACCCGCCCCTGATTTTCCCCGAAGGGTACTTATGTAAGCTCAAATTGCCCTGGGGACCTTTTAGCACCAACAAAAGATGGGCGTCTAATCAGGAAGTTAAGAAAATTCCACACTATTTTTTATTTTATTTCGGCGAATAGATTGTAAAATGCAAACTAAAATTTTCAGCCTGAATAAATTTTATTTGTTCAACGAGAAAGGCGTGAAAAAATGATCAAGTTGTTCAGACTGTGGTATGAAATGAATGGCATTTGTAGAGTTAAAAAGATCGGCTATCGGTATAGTTGGGCGCAAATTTTGATTGCTACCAAATTAAAATTGAAAATGAGGGCGTGCTTCTGGAAAAGAGGTCAACAATTGGTGGAGTATGTTTGACAGCGAATCAGACTAATTGGCAGCATCTAGATCAAAATAATATCCTTTTTGTCCCAAAAGTTGTAAAAAAAGTTGGAAAAACTACTACTGCCAGCTATATTTTTCGATCGCGAATTTCGGCACTTGATACAAGTGCTTTAAAGGATTTCCACAATGAAGTTAATGGTGCCAAGAATTAATGATAAAACATTTAGAATTAACTTCCTGAGATTATTCAAAACAACAGCTTGCAATCACTAAAACAACGAAAGCAGTTTTTCCTGAAACTAGAGCACAATACGCAAAAAGCATGATGATTAACTTGCTTTATTTTTTTTCCTATCATGGTAGGCATTTTTTTTTGCTTTTTTTAGATAAGGAAATCTACACCATTGGTCATGAGGTTATGAAAAAAACTCAATTAACTATTTTATAACTTTTTTGCCCTTGACTTAAAACACGGCGACGAACAGAAAATTGCAAGGAAGCGCGGTCTAAAAAATAAATTGAAAATTCTAGACCATGTTTTTTTGACCACGGGGAGAAATTTAAAATCATTACAAGGCAGCCCAAATCATCAAAACTAAAATGAACTTGTTCTTGCTATATCTGACTTTGTGTGGAAATCTTTCTCGAGTCCGGTGATTGGAACTGGAACCAGATAAGAACTCTTGCCTCAAGCCTTTCTATTTATTTTATGTAGTTTTTTTTAAATCGCAATCAAGGTAGGCATTTTTTGCTTTTTTTAGGTACGGAATCCCGCTGAACCCTAACTTAAATTTGTGGAATTTCCTTCAGAGCTCTAGCTTTTCTAGATAGAAAACTCCTATTCGCACACTGAATTAGTAAAATAGGTACTTTTCCGTACATCTATTGAGGTTAAAGAAATGAGAAAATCATAAATCGCTATATTGGATCAATGATTGTACCCGGCCGAAAAAAATGACAGGTATACGGTGGTGTAAAGTATCATAAAATACTCTTGGAGAAGGACTATTCGGACCCATCTCAGAGCAAAAGAATGGTAGTAAAAAATGTTTCAATGGGATCGCTTAGTATCTTTTAGACGTTTTAATCTTTAAAAGTACTGTTTTTGTTATAGGAAAGGATTGCTGTCTGTTCTCGCTAGAATTTAAGCTAGAAAAAATCAAGGTCGTGTTTAATGAACTTCCTGGTGAACAAAGAAGAGTGCGTGAGAAAAGTCGAAAGCTGAAAGATCGAAACAAAGTTCACAAGTTTTTGAGGCGCTGTTTTAAATTTGATTAACCAATGTTTTCATTTTACGTATTTTATGACATTGAACTTTGCTTTTAAATACCGAAATTTATGGCAGTTCGTTATTGTCTGTTGACTTGTGATTTCCGATCATTACGGTTAATTTACATATGAAATGAAATGTTTTCAATCAACTTGCTACCCGAAACCGATCTACCTAAGAACCAAAACGAGCCAAAAATTTTGTCACAATCTTTGTTTTTTTACAATGAGTAATTTTGTTTGAGCAAAAGCTGTTAAAAATTTCTCAGATCAAACAAAACACTTCAGAAAAACCTTAAAACTGGCATTCAAACTTTTAGGCGACATTCAAAAACTGTATTAAGCCCACCAAATATACTTGGTTGCTGCGCTTTTACCATTGAAGTCCCTGTGAAACTTTTGAAGCTATTCAGCTCCAAAAATTTTTAAAAATACCAAAAACTGAAGGTCAAAAATAATGACAAATACAAATTAAATAAGCAAAGCGTCATTAGAAAATGGTTAATATGAATCAACGCATCATTACATCATGTTAAATGTGAGCGCCAAAAATTAATAAATAAAAACAGCCGCCAGTTGGAGAAATTGCTAAAAAAAGTTGCTCAATAAGTTTCTCAATTTTGCTATTTTGGTTTATTCAATGTATGAATCCAAAGAGCAAAGCACTGTTAGCACTGATTGGTTTGGTTGACACAATTGTGACTTTTTTAGCTGATTTCTAACGAACAGGAATGAAGGTGGTCATTTTTCCTGTGCTGTTTTTTTTTGTGGTCTGCCATTTTTTGTGTTTGTTTCTGATCTGCGCCCTTTTTGCTAAATAAAATTAAATTCCTAACCAAAAATTCTGTAATTTAGTCAATCAATTTGGCTTAATTATATGTCGAAAGAAAATTGCGAATAATACATTTTGAGACGGTGCTAAAATTTGATTGGCTAATTCTTATCAATCTGGTTGAAACAAATAGTTTTAATTCAAGATGTTGAAAAGTTGATTTTTGGTTGGAATAAGTAAAAAGACCCTTTTTTTCTCCAGGCAAATTTCGATTTTTTAATCAGCCATTTTTGACAAATTTTTATAATATCAGCCAAAAAATATTGTTGCCTTGAGCTCAAATTCGAAAAAATATACATTTCACCTGTGATATTTTTTCGTAAAGTTATGGGGTTTAAAGACTGCCAATTTGTCATTTGGTACAATAAACGCTATCAGTGCGTAATCAGCAATTTAATCACCCTTGGAAATTGTTCCAAATTGTTTGAAGCAGGCTATTCGTCATAATTGATAGGTTACTAGAAATGAAATTTATCACTTTGTATTTTGTACGGTGTGTGGTGGGACAAACTTTTTTAAACACTTTTTTTCACTTTTTTGAAAAATTCATCAATTATTTTTAGGCGAAACTTTTAGGCTACTTCAAAGTCCTGAAAAGAAAGTTGGACATTCAAGGTTTCGCCCTGATACAAGGTGTATTGTTAATTTTTAATTTTTTGCAATATCCTTTTCGGTCAACAAATTTGAAACAAAATAATTTATCTTAGGTTGCTCATTTTGACGTCGGGTTTCATTTTTCACTCATTTCAGCACTTAGAAACCCTGTAAAAAAGTCTAAAAACTTTTTTTAAAAGCACTATTTATGGCCAGTTTAGGGTGATCCTCTCATGATGGAGGGACCGAACGATGGAAAAGTTTCAACTAATCAAAATCTGTAGAAGATCGGATTGGCTGAATAGTTTTGGCATTGAATCGATACCAAAATTTGCAGAAAATGAAATAAAGCATGCACAGTCTTTGCTGATGCAACATTTTTGGTGTTTTTTTTTTAAATTTTCTTAAATCAGTATCTGTCGAAAATTAGATTTTTCCTAGTGTCTTTGATCTGGCAATGTTTGAAAATTCGTTTATCTGCAATCTGCTAATTTTGTCATGGTCAGTATTATTTTTTATGGCCTGGATTTATTTGCTTATTTTGAGGTTTTCGCGGTTCTTTAGGTTTTTTTCCATACTCAAATCTGATTGGTTGAAATTGACCGAACAAAATTCCAACATTCGGTCCATCCATCATGCGGGACGCCACCATCAATTTAGATCCTCAAGGTCACCGATGTAACCAACAATTTGGCATTAACTATATAACTAATCTAGTCACTGACCTTGAGGAAATCGGAGATGAAGTCTCTGAACTCATTTGACCCGTCTTCCTTGTCTTCTGTTTCTATGAAGCCACTCTTGTCTGAGTCATAGTGTCTCCAGATCTTCATGAAGTCCACAATGGAAAGAGTCTGAACCCCACCGAACTTACTCAGAAACGGGTATGAGTCGCTGTTGCTGCTGTTAGTGTTGTTGGTACTTTCTGATGCCATTGTTCCTTTTGTGGGTGGTATGAATTAATCTAAACACCGGAATGTTTTTAAAAGGTGTTATTGGAAAAAAATGAGGTCGAAAATAAACAAAACTGCTGTTATTTCAGCCGCTGCTGCTTCTCAAAAGTTTTAGTTGACATTTTTTTTAGCGTACAGAGTGTTTTCGAAATGTGTTTGTTATAAATCATCTTTCATTTCACAAGTGTTCTTACTGCAAAAAAAACACTTCAAAAACCCAAAATCTTGTGAAATGAGAGATGATTTATAGAAAACTACGTTTTGAAAACACCCTGTAGTCCGAAAATTTAGTGTATTCTGAAATAAGATATCATCTTTAACACCATAGCATCTGCTTTTTTTGACCAAGTTGATGTTCCGAGCTATCCCATGTTAAAACATTATTATGAAAAAGATTTTGTAAAAACGCTAAAAACAACCCTTTTTCGAGTTGCTCAGAAAAAAATGTGGGTATCGTGGAAACATTTACAGTGACGTTTTCTTGATTTGACCAATAGGGGAGTGGAGAAAAAGGAGGTTTATGTTTACGGCGCTGAAACCAGAATATAGGCCAGAAATTGTGGAAATCAGTTTTATAAATTAGGTGATAATTAATTGTAAATTCCTTGTTTTATAATAATTTTATTTTTATTTTCACATCAAAACTTATAATTCCTTGTTTTTATTGACAAGTAGAGTTAACTATACTCTAACTCATGGGCGGATTTAGGGAGGGGGTGGGTGGGGCGATCGCTTTTTTTCTGAGTCAAAATTTTCCAAGAAGTGCCTAAAAACGAGAGCTCCAAAAAGTGCCTAAAAACGAGAGCTTTGGGAGAGCTCAGAATTGCATTTTGGTCGATCTAAAAAAAAGGTCGACAAAATTTTCGAAATTTTTTTGAAAAACCGCCCCCCCCCCCCCCCCCTCGAGAAAATCATAGATCAGCCCCTGCTCTAAATAGTCAACTCTAGTAAGTAGAGTTAATTATTATTGATCCAAGTTAGTATAAATTGGTGGTGAATGCGACTTTAAAAAAAACTTTGGGGTTGGTCAGACAAAAATGGATGTCGTAAAGTTTTATACTAAAGGGGACATTCTTGGCGGCGAGGGCGAAAGAACCTTGAGAGCGGAGGGGAGTCCCCTTGCCCAGTTTTTCCTCCTAAATTCCTCCCATGTTGGTGTATATTGAATTTTTAGGCAAGCAATTGACACATACATTGAAGTGTAAGTTATCATCAAGAGACAGTATTCGATGAAAAGATAATTATACGCAACGTGGGATTCAAAAAAAGCAAAACAAATATAGCAACTTAATTTAACGGTTCACTGACCTAATTTGACAAGTTTTGGTTGATTTTACTAAATCTGAGTACCGAAGAGTCCATGATAAAACAGGCAACCTCCATTAGAATTGTTCATCGCGTGTTGGTCTCACAGTGAAAAACATCGATGCACAATTAATCTGAGAACCCTTATTTTTGATGCAGTTTTTGATCATGCTTTTTAATGGTCAGAAAAGCCAGAATTTTTGAGGGCAAATCTGCCGTTACAGATGCAAATTTTTTTAGTAGAAAAACTCAAATATGTAAAGTTTTAAAGTGACGAATTGCAGGGGATAATCCTTCGAAAATTAGTATAGATTGACCCCGAACGTTACTTCGGAAAAAATCTTTGGGTTGGTTGGCCGAAATACATATTGATAGTTTGTTAATGCAGTACTGAATTATCGGAAGCTTCAAGCACTTTCATGATCCCAATTTGATCAAAGTAGACTAAAATTCAAACCCTTATAATTTCATTAAAAAAGCATCACAAGGAAAATTTCTTTTTAAATTTGGCCTCAAGCCATTAAAATCTTCGAGACGTTATAAAACAATTGCTGTCAAAAATGCATGAATAAACGTCGAAATCTGTCTGAACAAAAAACCTCACCAAGCATAAAAATTACGTCTCCTGCTTTGAAAGGCAGAACAGTAACAATGCGAAGCAATACAAGCAAGGAAAAATTTCAACGGGATTTTTATCCACTACTTCAGATTACTTAGCTTCATGGTTCTCTTGTTAATGGCACTTAAAATCTGTCTTAAAACCTACGTTAGCTAGACAACTTAAATGCTTTGGTGAAACTTTCGACATGCGATGATTTTCAAAATTATTTGTATCAACATTAACTGCATTTCTTAAGATGGCCATATAAGTTTATAAAACTTTGATGGAGAATAACACGCCAAAAAAGCATTTTTTTAAAAAAAATCTTAGTCTTCAACAAAAACCACATCTGCAATTTTCATTCAAAAAACTGCACAGTTAGAGCTTTTTGAGAGTCTAGGCAGATTTCAAAAACCAAAATGGCAAAATTAAAAAAGCCACATCAAAATTTCCCTGTGCATACCTCTATAATAAAGGTAACTAGAGCAGCATTGACCATATGCTGATTCAAAAAACTGCATCCCGCTAACTTATTTTAAATTTATCGAGTTTTGAAATTGTTATGATCAATTGTGATTCCCAGAGCATTAAAAAGACATTAAATCTCTTATAATCTCTTATATATTTCTTATATTTCTATTATAATATATTATAATAGATTATATTTCTTTTTTCTGTCAAAAATCTTTAAAAGTGAGGTTTCTTGTCACTCTTTGGCTCATCTGAACACAAAATCTTACCACGAGATAAAAGTTTCATAGAAATCTCTTCATTTTAGTTGAAAAAATCCCGCGGTAGTTGATAAATAAATCATCTTTATAAACCATGAAACTAAAACAATGTGTTGATATTTTGGTGGTAAAAAAAAACTTAAAATGTACATCATGAAACAACTATAATCAAGAAGAATGAAAAAACAAACACGTTTTAAATTTAAATTAATTTGAAAACTGGTAAAAACACTTTTCTCATGTGTTACCTCAACTACGTCTACGAAAAGCAAAAAAATAAGAATTTCATATGCAAGGTAACAAATGGGCAAACAAAAGGGATTATAAACAATTATAATGTATTAAAATGAATTTTTTCTGCAAAACTAATGAATTGAAAATTCGGATAAAAAATAATCAATTATGATTGATTCTAATGTATTATAATTGAATATATTTGATTTTAAAAAGAGAGATTATAATCGATTATTTTTTAATTAAATCAATTTCTTCTTAATTTTTGTAAGACTGTTACCAAAATCATACTATAATTGATTATTAACGCTTGAAACTGGATGCGGGTACGCCGGTCGAAAAATCTCAAAGCATTTTTATTCAATTTTCACACTACACCAAATCTGATTTTGAATATTCCTTGGTCCCATTTTTTAAATTATTAATTTTTAGAGAACTAAAAAACGTTTAAGTTTTTTTGTTTTTGAATCTTCATTTGGCAAAACTTCATTTGCGCAAAACTTCATATATTACATATTGAGATAGTTAGAGACTATGATGCAAAACAATTTTTTTGTGTTTATAAGCGATAAACAATGTTGATACCGCAATGCTTAGAACTGCAGAAACGTTACGTAGGTTAAGCAGACAGTTCTGAACCCGAATAAAAATTCCACAGTCCTGGATAATTGATGTGTACGGGCTGTATCACCATTTGACCAGCGTAAACACAAGATCACTCTGGGCTGCCATATTTGTGGCAAAACTGAGAAAATCAATTCTTGGTGACAAAATAAGAGCGTAAAATCACTTTGCAACAATTAAAATTCAGACAATCTGAAAATTAAAAAAAAAACAATCTAAAAATTTCAGCAGCAAAAATCACAGCAAATAAGCTTAAAGCAATGACTAGACCATGGGAAATTTTTTAGCAGAATTTTTTTCCTCAAATTAAGGCAATAAGCAATTAAAACTAAATCTGAAAAAAACTGCTAGCTTCCTAAAGAACTGATGTATAAAGGCTTTGATTAATCTAAGTTTACCTGTTGTTTTTGGTAACCCGGAGTTTTCTCTGATTCTTTGGTTGTTTTGGTGATTCAAGTAGGATAAAGAGAGCAGAAGAATTGATGATGATATTTGGACCAGGAAGGCTAACTGTTTTTTTCTGTCGCAGATGAAGATGTTAGAGCGAGGCGGACTAAATTGAATTGAAGGTGGCTCTCTGGAATGCAGTTAGATTATTGGCTGTGGTTTGATATGCGGCAGAACAGAGTGATGAAAAAAACCGCTGAGGTAGATTGTATTATGCAAATAAATCCGCCAATAAAGATACGACAAATCGTTCTCCAATCATTACTTTGATTCGAAAAAGTGAAAAAATTATATTGAGCCGAACAATTTTTTGACCTTTTTGCTGATGCGAAAAATTTACTGAGAAAGTCAGAAATATATTCAAGATAAATGTATTCAAAGTATTCAAGATATTTCTAAAGACTAATAAAGCTCGTATTTTTTTTGATTCACTGTAGGGTCTTCTTAATTTATGAGAAAAAAACTGAAAAAATGCATATAAAAATTTTATATATACACATATTTTTTAAGCTTGAGTGCGAATCCACGATTTGATTCAAAGTGCAATCTGTTTGCGCCCTTTCAAACAGTAATACTCTGTTGATTTCTCGATTAGATCTTACATACACTTTTGGGCTAATTTTCAATACTTTTCGCTGGCATTTGCTTCTATAGCCTTCGTCTAATTACAACAATCTGCTGAATGCATAAGTGTTCAAAGAAGTCGCTGGAGCTTCAAGGGGCAATCTCCGTTTTAATCTCTCAACACCTCCAAAATACCCCCCAGTTCCGCAAATGTACCATCGATGGTTATTTTAGGGCTTTTTACCTGACCACAAATGGAACTGGTCGCTATTGCTGTTACATAAAGAAAGGCGACGTCTCATAATACCATAGACGGCGACGATCATCAAATGGAAGCGGTTCCAATCTCAAAATAATCATCAAGGGGCGGGGGTTGTCGAGACCAAGAGACAAAAAATGAAAAAATTGACGTGAGCCAATTATCATTGAGTGTTATACGCAAAACTAAAAAACCGTATAAACTCTGCCAGAGTTTGGGTCAATTTATAGCCTTTGAGTGGTTGGAATAGTTCTGACATTCGGGTTTTTTGTCATAAGAATAAATCTCGAAAAATAATCATTGCAAGTAAATGTAATTGGGCTTAAAATGTTGCGAGGCGTATGAAACGCTCCAGCAAACCCTTCGCCTGCTAAGGCATTGCTTTCGATTGTCACTCATAGCTAAATAGTTTCGTTTTCATGCCATCAAAAAATTACGAATAAAATCAGTTTATAAGAGTGAACGACTTTCCGACTTTATTGTTCCGACTTTTGTAACAAAAGTAACAGAATATTTGTGCTCGCGGTGTTTTTTTTTTTAACAAGCCATTTTTTACGGTTTTTTAAAATATATATCACAAGGTATTGTTGTCCTGAGCTTAAACTTGAAAAGATTTTTTTCCTGTGATCATTTTTCTTAAAGTTATGAGAATTAAATATTGCCGTTTTGTCCAATTTGTGACATTTAACGCGCGATATATTTCAAACATTCAGGGCTGTGCCCTGATACGAGCAATCTTGTTGGTTTTAAAAAGGCAACAATTTTATTTGAGAGAAAAATTCGATGCCTTGTAATGAAATCTGCAATTATTTGCAAGGTTTTTGAAAGGTTTGTACAAGATCTTACAAGACAGCCCATTTTCTTTTATGCAGTAATTAAATTATTGACATAACTGAAATGTTAGCAAAAGGAATGTGGTAAAGGAAAAAATTTTTGACCTTTGCGGAAAACCAAAAAATGATAATTCTATACATGATTGATTTTCAGTATAAATTTTTTTGAAGCAATATACGCTCTTCAGAGAAATCGAGTATCAGGCTGGTGTTTTTAAAACGAATATCAGGCTGGTTTTTCAAATGAAAAATGCTAGCGCTTCAAAAAAAAATTCTTCAGAAAAAGACGCTTCATCAAAACATTTCTTTATGAAAAAGCTAGTCAATCAAGAAACAGCAGAAAAAAACTATTCAAACAAAACATTTATGCAGAAAAATGATATTTCAACAAAAAGTTGTCTTTGGGAAACTGCTGGGGCAACAATCAATTCAAGACAAAATTGTGGCCCGCAGTAAATATTTAAAGAAAAACGCTCGTCCAATATAAATTTCTTTGGAAAAATGCTAGTTTATCAAAAAATGTTGAAGAAAAATGCAATTCGTGTACAAAAAAAATCCTACAAACTATGCTAGACAGACAAAATTTTCTATGGTAAAACGCCGCTAGTCATACAATTTCAGCAAGTATTTTTTACAGTTTGAATAAATCAAGACTGCTCGTATCAGATCGAAGCTCTGAAAGTTGTGACTGCGCAATAAGTCTATGCTGTATTTATTGTTTAAAAAAATTGTTTGGCTTTTCAAATTTTGTAAAGATGCACCATATTGTCACAGTTACAGTGAATAGCTTGCGTCGTTTCAAGTTGACTCCATTTGGTGCAAGGAAATAAATTGAGAGTGAAATATTTCATATTGGCCGAGACCTAAAGTTCCTTTTTTCTACGAAAGTTGAAACAAGAACTATTCTTCTTGGTTTTTTGATTTTTCTTGCGTTCTTTATTAAAACTCTGGTTTCTCATATTAAATTCGTATCAATCATTTTTATATCTGTTGAATGTGAAGGTTTATTTTTTTTGAAAAAACGAGCGAAAAAAATAACAAGGAAAAATATCGAGCGTCACAAAAAAAAATTTTTTGTGCGAGTATGACTTGATCCGTTTGTACGTAATTTTTCCAATTTTTCTATATGTCCATTAAGTAAAGTTTTTGTCCCGACTTTCGATACGAAAGTAATGGAATATTTGTGCTCGGGGTGGGTTTTTTTTTCTTCAGACAAATTTCGACTTTTTAACTAGCCATTTTTGACGGAATTTTTTTATATCATTCTAAAGGTATTGTTGTCTTGAGCTCTAATTTGAAAAAATATTTTACCTGTGATCATTTTTCGTAAAGTTATGAGGGTTTAAAGATTGCCCTTTTGGCGAATTTAAGACAATTAACGCGCGATATATTTCGCGCTATGAACGCGTAAGCGGAAAGTTAATCCGTCTTAAAATCGTTCCAAATTGGTTAAAAGAAGCTTATTTGCCATAATTGATTGGTTACAAGGAGCTAAATCTATCTTTTTGTACTTTAAATGGCGTGTGGGGGGATGATTTTCATAAAAAATTTCAAATTTAAAACAAAAATTAAAAAAATTTTATTACATTTAATTTTTCAATGTTTTTACAATTTTTCATTTTTTTCCATAAAACCTTAAAAGGCAGTCGGAACATTCAGGGCTTCGCCCTGATACGAGCAATCTTGTTAAATTTTGGGATTTCTATTTGTGCTATGAAATCAAAGTTAATCAATTAGTGAGTATTAAATTAATTTGCTATGAAATCAAAACTAATCAATTAATGACTACAATTTTAATTTTAACCGTAAATTTTTTACAATGAAAACCAAATTTTAAGGCCTTTTGTTTGCAAATTTTTAACTAACCCATGTTTTTGATCAACGAAAGTATGAAGTGGCCTAAATTTGTTCATTTTTTGTTTTTTTATGTGTTTTTTTGGGATCGAAGTTTGTCTTGACTAAAAACTGGATGCAAAAAATAGAAAGTAGAAAACGCATGAAGAAAACGGGCAGTTGTTACAAAACCAGTTAGAAATTAGAAGAGGCACGTTAGACGCCCGCCGCCCTTCAGCTATTCGAACCCCTTTGGTAGTGTTCAGGGACTCAATTTTTGACATACCACTTTTACAGTTGTCTGGAAGCGCCTTCGGAGCACAAAGGTTATTATAATTTTAGGGATTCAACACATGCCAAAAAATGATGATGTTTAGTCAAAACCCTCAAAAAACTGCAAAAACATGTATTTTTCAAATGCATGCCTGGGGTGCAGAAAATTGTTTTTTTTTTCAATTAGGATTTTTTTGACATTTTAGGAGTGCTCGCGTGTCTAAATAATTTTTTTAAAATCGAGCGCCACCCCCTAAAGACTTACAATGACAACGCCAGTGCTCTGAAAAGTAATGTATGCACATGTGGAAAATTTTCCGACACTAAATTGAAGATATTTCTTTTAGTTCATGCGCTTCATGCATCTATATAACATTTTCTAAAACTGTCACAAGTCAATCATTCTTAAATCAACCTTGAGCCGGCTACTAATCAATTTTCCTGAAGTAATTTGATATAGATAAAGATAAGTATACTTCTAGGTTTCTGGGGCAAAAAATCTTTATCTTCGACGATCGATCGCTTATTGAAAATTCTCAACCGCTAATCGCTCAGCTTACAATTTGAATAATTAATTTTGGTTAATAAGCGTGTCAGACCGTCAATTTGCTTATAAGAATTGATCGAAACTACAAATTGGAACTTTTTAAAACCAATTGAAAATTTTTTATTGTTTCTTAGAAACGTTTTTTTTTTGTGTAAATTTTTTTCAATGAATTTTTTCGCTTGAAAAACTAATGCAATGCTACATGTTCAGCAGTTTTGATACTTAAAGGTAGGGGTGGCATTCAATCAAGCCTCATATTCCTTAATCTGTTACTTTACTGTCTTATCAGGTGAAATCAATGACGTGACAGTAATCTTAATCTCAGCAAACATTATGCACAGTCTAGTCTGTCTGAGATGACCAAAAGGCCACGGAATAAAAAAAAAATTATATCAGTCAAAAAACGTGAAGGAATGGATCACGTTACCTGTTTTGCATGTAAAAAACGAAAAGAAAAAAGAAAACACTTAACAAGCGGCATTTTTGTTACTTACAACGACTTTTTACAACGAGTTTTTTCAAAAACATTTAATTTTATCTCGTTCCGTGTCAACAAAATTTTTTATTGGATGAGTATCAGCTTGTTGCCATATTTTCACTAATTGTTAGACTGAGTTAGTCAGTGTTAGACCGCCTTGCTCATTTTTTGAATCATCGGTTGGGCCTATATTTAGAATTACAAGGATAGTTAATATGGACAAGGCTCGGGGGCAAAATGATTTGATAATTCAGCTAATACGGGCTGGCCGGGGCGGTGAATTCAAAATGAATATTCCATAATCAGTTCATTTGGATTTTTAATAGGGTAGATGGGTTTGTTGGAGAGCTATATGGAATAACAAAACAGGTAATTGAATTGACCTGATCCGAACTAAATTGAT